AACCCGAAGAAAAATCTGTTATGCACAGTAGTATTTTGGCAGCCTCATAGGGCTAGAAAGGTAAACTGTCAATTCTCTCTAGTCCCTCCAATAAGGGATTCTCATAAGCCATCCTGTCCTTAAGTTGTAACCCCAAAGGGATACACCTTTCAGACACAGGCCCTGGTCAGGATGTGCAGCACAATGTCATGCCGCCAGAGACACAAAACTCCTCAAAGTCTGCATTTAAATTAAGATGCTCCAAGACTAGCTGCATCCCAAGCACCTGTCAGAATCTCCAAAAATACCACTATCCTATCCCTTTGCTCTGGGATTTTAAATCAAGTTCTTTTGACCCAAGAGTCCACGTTCTTAACAATTTTACTAAATTACTACATAAATAATAAAGTAATGTGTAGGAGAGCTGGAACACAAAGGTCACCCAATGCAAAGTTATAAGCAGTTTGGATTTATCACAACTTGCATGAGCGATCAGCCAGCACTGCAGAAACCTCTCCAAGGACAGGCACACCCCTTTTCAAGGTCTCACCCATGTTTGCACAGCTTAAGTCCACTGCTAATTTCTACTCACTGGCCCTTAGTCTGCCCACTAGGGTCACAAGCTACAATCTGTCACCACTAAAAGCCCTCCAAATATTTAAAGACAGTTTTGAGGTCACTCCTACATCCTATCCTTCCTTCCTCTCAAGAAAATTCAATTGATACATTTTTAGCTCCTTCACCACATTAGACAATCATAGATGTGGATGGTTCAGTGTATCTTCCTCTGTAAAACGGTATTAGGGGCTAAACACCACATTCGAAGCATATGATCTGGAAAGCACAGGGTCAAGCAAGATTGTCTGCCCTGACTTGGACTTAAAACTAACTACTGCTGTGTAACAAACTCTCTTGCAGTGCCTGGGTGAGAACTGGTTAAACTGTATCAGCATTTTGCAAGCTGTGTCCCATCTCCTCATGCTCCAGCCAATTTGGTTTCTGGTTCTTCAAAGAAGGCTTGCATCTTCTCTCTTCCAGGTGTTTGTGTGTGCCTTTTGCTCTTCTGGAAAACTCTTCTACTCCTAACCCTCACCCCGCACCAAATCCCTTTTCCTGGCTGGCTGCTACTAAGCTCAAACATAGCTTGATCCTCAGCATGGCTTTAGGGAAGCCCTGAACAGGTTACTCTGTGTTAAGTTCCCATCACCATCACATGACAGTCATTAAATAATTGTTTATGTCATGTCGTTATAGTGTTGATGAAAACAATGGTTTTGTTAATATAGCACTTGGCTAAAAGTCGTCATTTCCAAGAACCTATCAACAATGTGGGAACTTACTATATATAATCATTTAATGACTGGCTCAATAAACGATAAGCTCCATAAAGGCAGGGTCTAATGGTGGGTGTTAATAAAAAATGTAGCTTCTTCCTTCACTCATATTCCCACTTGCCATAGGTGTTTGTGCAGCACTGGCTGGCTTTTCTCTCCCAGCAGCCTCTTAGGGCCCTGGTATCAGACTTGAAGGGTTCTCATCTCCCACCACCCTACTTATGCAAGACCTGGTGTTCATCTACAGCACTTAGCCATTTGGATCTTACTCCACATACTGATTGTATCTCACCAGCTCTGTATCGATGGCAGGCTTTGTCACTCAACCAAAGGCCCCTCCTTCAGGAAGTCATCGCTTCTTAGGGCTCAAGGGCAGTGAAGAAGCCCACTAGGTTGCTCATTAGGCAGCTTAACTAACCATTCGCCTCAACCCATCAAAGACAGACCTATAGGTTGAAAAAGCTATTACAACATTGCAGCCTCCTGTGGCTCCATGCTCGCTAGCCCCAAAACCACCCACATCCTGCTCTAAACAAAAAAGAGATAAGAGGTTGATCATAGTCATTAGTAGCTCCAGCAGTTTCTTCTTTTCGGAGTCTTGTGACATTTCAGAAGCCCACAGTATTTTAAGCCCTTATGGGATCCCTTATCATCAGTTCCCATATATTTAGAAGTCCTGGGTTCATAAACTGTATTAAATAACAAGAACTAAGAAAGTCATAAACATACAGCATTTGCAGAACAATATTCAAGCCCATGGTTGTATGAGAAGGAACCTCCTCCCCAAAATGGAATTATCTTTTGAAGGGCAGGACCCTTGTAGTACACTTGAAATTTGTTCCTATGGATCAAACAGTCAACCAAAGTTTTCATCTGGAAGTTTTGAGAAGGTTGCATCACAATTTGCGGAAAAAACATCCCAAGTTGTGGCGAACAGGTAAATGGTTCTTCCACTATGACAACGCACCTGCCCACACTGCACTTAGTGTTCAGTTTTGACCAAAAACAGCATGACTCCCATGCCCCTCCCTTCCTAATCACCTGACCTCCCCCATAGTGACTTTCTTTTTTTAATTTCCCCAGATGAAAAAAAGTCCTCAAAGGTAAAAGTTTTGCTGTGTGGAAGAGGTGAAACAAAAAATGGCAGACGCACTAAAAGACATAAAAACTAATGAATTCAAAAATTGTTTTGAGCAGTGGAAAAAAGTGTCTCGATAAGTATACTGAACCAAACAGGGTACTTTGAGGGGAACTGAAATATAAATATGTGAGAATACACAATTTTTTATAAATGAATTCCCGGAGTTTTTTGGGTCGTCCTTGTATAAGGACACCATGTAAACATAGAACCTTCCCACACTTGAGAGAAAATGTCAAAGTCATAGTTTAACCAAAGGACAAAAGGAGGAAATAGACTCAGAAGTCCCCTATCTGCTCCCCTAACTTTATTTCTACTGTTTGAATATTATCCCTCAGTATGGTTACTTGTAGAATAAAGCTCTTTGACACCCCTGATCAGCATATTCCAACAAAATCTTCACCCCAAGGCTGTCCAAAAAGGTCATACATGAAATGGTCTATGACAGCTATATCAGTCCAGGTAGACAATGATCTATTAATCTCAAGTCTTTGGGAACACATTCTCAAAGTATTAGAAAGTGACAATTAATTCCTTCCCTCTGTATAATACCTCAGTAAAATCTAGATATGATGTCTCTGGTATTCTAATATGCCAGGAAAATAACTCCACTGAAAAATGAAATATAAATCTGAGACTCTGCTCTTGCTAAACCTATGCTGGCTCTCTTTTCTTCTCCACTTAAAATACTAAGCATTCAACACTATTTGTTTTCTGTTCAGGAGCAAAAAAATTACCAAGTCTATAATTTCTAGAATGTTCCTCCCTTACCTGAGCAATCTTAGAGAAAAGTTGCTAGAATGTTGTTCAGATTTTCTAAGCCCATTAATTCTCTCATCCACCTTAAGTTAAAGGTTGTATCTCAATAGCTTACATGGCCCCAGCAGGCAACAGAAAAGAGGGAATTGGAGCTAGTCATGCTAGAGGTCAAATGAGAATTTACTCCAGGACTAAAGAGGCAATCATTATTCAGCTCCTGCCAAATTGTTGCCACATAAGCGTCCAACCAGTGCTTCAGAGTTTTCAATATTTCTAGAAGATAGAAATACAAAACTATTTAAATGCGAAATCTCAAGTATTGGTAATTATTTTTTTTAAAGTGCACACTGGGCCAAAATACACAGATGAGCAGAATTCAGCACACAGAAGTCTAGTTTTAATCTCTTGCTGTAAGCTAAGAAATCATTTAAGTGTCTGTTGAAAAGGAAGTGGGAGTGCAGAGGAAAGAGCTAAAGCCAAAATTGGGGTTTCAATTCCCTCTCGAAAATGTTTCTTTTTCACTTTTTCCAATCTAAAATATTACCTTCCATCGCCCCTCTCCCCCTAAAATATGAAAATGAGAGGTGATTACAAAGTTAAAAAGATAGAGGGGGGAATGCAACATATACTCTATATAGTTTCTGTTGCAAGCGTAATGCTACAAAAAACTCAGATTTTTACTCTAATGCTTTTTGTGTAACAGTGCCACCAACAGTACATTAATCCTCAGATATCTGACCTCTCAGTCTTTCACACTTTTAAAAATCTGAGGTAATTCAAGCCCTGTTTCTCACCCTCCCCTCCCTTCCTCAGTCCTAGCTAAGATGCAAGGTCTCTCTGTGTAAGACTGTCAAATGTCCTTTGTCACATGTCCTGTTTCTTTTGAGTCATTTTTCCTTTTTGGACTTATAGTCTATGAAATCTTGCTTACTTTTTGTCAGCATTTTAAAACTTTTTTGAGTGACTGGGATGCACTTACACCCAAACTTTCCCATTGTTTGGTATTATTTCCTAGCACTTTGAAACATTCATGAAAACTTTTTCTTAAATTTCCTAATTTCTAGGCTTAAAATACTTAACACAGAGCAGTGAAACTATTTGTATGATACTACTGTGGTAGATACATTTGTCCAAACCCCCAGAATCCAAAGTAACCAAAGGCAGCAAACTATGGATGATAATGAAGTGTTCACGTAGGTGTCAACAGGCTGCAACAAATGTCTCTCTCTGTTGTGAAGTGTTGACAGGAGGAGTAAGTGAGTGAGGTTGGAGGGTGAGGTGGGGGAAAGGGTATATGGAAACTCTGTACTTTCTGCTCAATTTTGCTATGCACCTAAATCAGCTCTAAAAATAAGGTCTATTGAAAAGGTGGAAAAAATTACTTAAGACAAGGTCAAATTCCATCAGTGATTAAAAAAAAAAAATCAGCAGTTAACTTTTAAGAATCTCACACATGTGGCATGACAGAGGTATGAGCTCTACTTACCTTGGAAGGAGTACTCAAAGCAGGCCAGAACTTCATAACCATGTTCATATTCAAGGTAATCATAATATTCTACTTTGCTTTCAATTCAAAACAGAATGGTTAACCAGTCTTTTAAGGCACTTATGTCAGCATTGAGAGGAGGAATCCAGTATCCAGTTAAAAATATTACCAACTTCTCTTGTTTTCAAAACCCATGATCTGAGCATTTAGATCCTTTTATGTATCTTCTGTCATAGAAGTCCTACTTGTATGCTTTTTAGTTCAGCACAGAGTAGTAAATAAGACATTACAGGATGAAAACCAAGACCAGGCATTTCTTACATTTATTGAAGATCTCTTAGTTGGGAGAAGAAAGATCACAGGCTTAAACAATTGTAAGATAAAAAAACAATTAATTGCAAATTATTACAAAGGTAATTTTTGAAATTTTTTTGAGCAACTGCCAAAACAAAATTTTAATGCATCTCAAAGTTCATATTTTGGTAAGTGAACATATTAAATTACTGAAGAGCAAAAAAAGTTACTGTTACACAGTACACAATCTTAATGTAGTAATGAGCACAGCCAAATAAACAGCTATAATTATTCAAAGCTGCTTTTGCTATATAGTATATTAAACAAGAATGTAGATTACTTTTAACACTGCACAAGTAACCAAAGGTAGCAAATCCAGCAATATTAAAACCTGTTATTAAATAGTATTCAAACATTACAAACAAAACAAGAACCTCTAGAACTATAACTTTACCCTATGAAAGGAATGTACACAGATGGTTAAAAAAAATAAATAAATAAAGTGACAAGAGTGACTAACACTGTATCTACATCTTCAGAGCAGGAATACAGTAAATGAGTAAATGCTCATAGGATTCTTGCTGAAAATGAGGAAAAAATGCATTTCACTTTAGCATAATTTGTCTAATTCCCATTGAAGCTCTAATCCTCTCGTGCTGGTGACAAGTGGACAGGGTTTTAAATGGAAAAACATTTTCCTTACACCCTGAATATGGATGTGTCATTTAAAAAAAATTCTGTGAAAAGTTTCCCTTGAAAAACATAAATTTAAAGTGATATGCTGATGTGAAACTAAGTATATAATTGTGGAGAATAATATCAGCTAAATAAGTATACACTTACTTAAATCTGGCCTTCGGCGGAGTGATGAATCAAGATTAAACTGAATTTGGGGAATACGAACTAATGTCAAAGTCACCTGGGTAAACTATCTTTCACTTTATACATAGTGCATTTAATAAGTAATTAAATTTTCCTACCAACAAAATAAAACACTTGCTGAGGCAAAACTAAGGTTTATGAATTGAATTAATTACATTAGATATCTAAAAGGGTAAGTGAAACATTTTTCAAACTATAAAGATGTTATCACATAGCCACTGAGTGAATATACTACAGGTTTTATAATGCCATTTAAATCTTATCAAATTGTCTAATAGATACTGTCATCTTCTTCTGTGACTTATAAATGAACAATTCCTTTTGTATAAATCAGGAAGCATTTTTAAAATCAACAATACTAAAACTATACATGTAATTTAAACTTGGTTTAGGAAAAGAACATGGAAGAACTGCCACATTTCAGTGTGAACAAGGTTCTGAAAACCCCCATCAGAAGTCTCATTCACTTTCTTTCCACATATCACTTGAAAGTTTTATCGTTGGTAAACAGAGAACTCAGTTCAATGCACATAACAACTTTAACAGTTCTGAGTAAGACATATTTTTTAGGGTCAAAATGTACAGAATGGCAATATTACAATGTTACAATATAAATATGTTAAGCAGCTTTGTAATAAAATAAGACAGAATTGTCCTCAACAGAGCTGTTCTGAAGACTGAGCAACCAAACAAATCTAAAAGTCTTTGGAAAATCACAAAGTGCCTTGAAGTTTAGACTGTACTTAACTAAAATATACTGCTCTAAACTCAAATATTCTCTCTGTAATATCAGAAAGCTTAAACTCATGCTTCTTTCCAACATCTGCTGATACTTTAACATTTTCCTCTATGCCCCTGCACTGAACTGATGCAAGTATGGAGTTCCACTATTATTATTACCATCCATGCCAATACCTAATAACTGGTCTGTCATTATGTAATGGTTAAATAAGGAAACTCTGAACCTAGCACAGCTCCAGCAAAATGCAAAGAAAATAAAAATACAAGGAAAATCTCATCTCGAAATAACTATATACCATTAACAAAAATAAATATAAATCTTTTCAAACCACAGAAAATTTTACAAAACTAATATATTATCACTTTAGTTTAAAAGAAATTCAGTACTCAATTTTGCTGAACAAATCTGCACATACACCCAACTTACTAAACACAATTTGATAGATACTTATAAAAATGCAACCTAAACTTAATGATCAATTAATCCATGTTATAATTAATAAGAACAAACATTCCTAGACCTAATGTTTAAAAACCCAGTCCAGTGCTGCCACATCTCGAGTTCTGAAAAACTAAAGGCAGAAACAATTCTGATTATATGTTTCTTGTATTTTTCCACCTTAAAAAATATTTGAAGAAACTTTAGGAAAATTTATGTCTAAGGCTTGCTCTATCTTAAACTGAGAAAAACCAAAGCTTACAATGTAACGTCAAAATATTTAAATAGCTTTTGGAATTTTTCTTTAAAAATTAATTTGAATCCTTCACTATAAAGACAAATTCTATACTACAGTTATCAATTCACATTAACATAAGTGCCCTTATTCCCTATTTCCTGGCAGGGGCCATGTTCCTCTATATTTTGTGCAGCTTTCAGAACAGTCAGTGTTCAGGAAGAAAAAAGAAACGTAATGGAGTACAATCAAAGATCCCACAGAAAGTGACTGACCCTAGATCACAAAATCCACTAGTAGAAGAACCAAAAATTTACACACATATATCCACACATACAAAACCAAGACACAATCTTGGTCCTCTATTCATGTCAACTTGCAGTTTCTGAAGACAAAGTAGTAGGAAATGCAGAGCCCAGAAAGATCATTATCAGAGAACTTTACAAAATAGTGAAGATACATTTTATCAGGGGAACAAAAAATTCCAATTTTTCTAGAGAAAATGTATCCACGGTAAAGTGGAGAGTTTTTTCAAAACTCCAACAATTAAAACCATTACTGGGCTTTTCTAAAGGCATTTCCACGTTAATATTAATTTTCAAAATTTCAACATGTTTTGCAACTTCAATTTTCACTTATAGGATAAGCTGGAAACCCAAAATAATCAAAAAGAGAAATAAAAAAAGTATTACTGCACAACCTTTATAGACATTTTATTTTAAAGCACCTTTTTAATATTAACAGTGGGTTTCTAAAAAGAAAACAGTAAAATGAAAGAACAAACCACTGGCAAGGTTTACAACATAAATACACACAATTGCACTCGTGCCAGAATGACTGACAGCATTGGCAAATAATGTCATTTGATGAAAGAATGGGGAAGCTATCACAAAGAGTTTACAAAAACCTGAAAAACAAATGTTTATGCTAAGAAATTAAAGTTTAGAGAAATCAAAAAGCTACCAATAGCTGAACTATGAAAATAAAACTGGTTTTTAAAAACACAAAAAATCTACCAGAAAAAAAATTTGCCTCAATTTTATTTTCTGATGTCAAATCAGTTATTAATCAGTTACTATTTGTTTGCAAAGGAGCAAAATTATAACTCTATTATTGGAATCTATCCTCAGCCACTTCAGTGCAGCTTCTAGCAGCACTATTAGAAGGCAGAAAGAATGTGGTCAGACAATGCCCCTGAAAACCTCATGCTTATTAAACTTTCCTCCAAATGCATGTTCTTAGGGTCTTGACACACTACACACACGTGTAGAAGAGGAAATGAAGATAATATTTTGACAGATTACAAAAGTATGAACTATATACACCATGTGATAACATAAAGCGCTTAAAAGCTGTATATTCTTTCCTCCTAATTCACTTAAGATGTTAATATTCACTATTCAAATTTTATTCTAAGCATCTTTACTGTTTCTTCTCTTCCCAAACAAAGACTAAAATATACTGGGTTGGGTTTGTTCTATGCATTTTCCAAGAGCCAATCAAACAGTGACTTGCATCTCTCCTCACTGGAAGTGTTTCCTTTCATTTCATAGTATCGAAGCACAGCCTGCAGGAGGTCTCCCACTTTCCATCCTTTTTCTTGTAACCGTTTTGAAAGCTAAGAAAGAAAGATATTCAAACATGAACCAAAACCAATTCTATAAAATCTGCATTTTTATTTTTAACATTAGATGGAACAAGAATCCTGCTGTTTACAATTAAATACTGTTTCCTACTTACAAGGTCTTCTTCCCTAAACCACCACCACTTTACTCAAATTAGAAATCTTCCTTCCTACCTTTTATAAACCCATCTCCACAGAATGACACTTCAAGATTGCTGGAGACAGAACTCCACAAACCTCACCAAGGGGACAGACTGTGTGGGAATGCAGACGCTAAGTCTACAGGAAATTCTTCACCTAACTAAATACATGTGCCACACCCTCAATTAGGAATATAAAATAATAAAGCCAACGTCAAGATTAATAAAAGGATGCGGATTTTCCTTCCACAATATAAAGTTTGGTATTTTTCTGGAATACACACTCTAGCCTCAACGGAAACATGGCTTTCTAAGTTAAGAAATGTTAATGTTTCAAAAACGGTAACAACAAAAAAGCCAAAAAAGTAAATAAATACAGGTTTAAATAAACTCTGTGTCACCACTCAGACCAGGCCTTTGCTCTTTTTTTTTCCTATTAAGTTCTGTAAAAGTTCTTAAGAGTTGAAATATCTGTAAGCTAAAAAATATATATATATATATATATATATATAAATTTTCTCTATTTTAATAGCTTTAGGGGTATGAATTGTTTTTTGGTTCCCTGGTTGCTTTGTAAAGTGGTGAACAAGTCCAGGCTTTAAGTGTACTTATCATCCCCATTATTGTACACTGTACCTGATGGGCAATTTTTCATCCCTCTCCCCTTCTCATGCGCCCCCTTCTGAGTCTCCAGTGTCCATTCTACCATTCTATAAGCCTTTTTAGACCCTCACCTTAGCTCCCACTTATAAGTGAGAACATACAATATTTGGTTTTCCATTTCTGCATTACTTCACTTAGGATAATGGTCTCCTATTCCATCCAAGTTGCTAGAAAAGACGTCATTTTGTTCTTTCTAAATGCTGAATAATATTCCATAGTATATGTACACCACATTTTCATTACCCACCAAACAGTTGATGGACATTTAGGTTGATTCTATATCTTTGTAATTGTGAATTGTGCTGCTATAAACAAACACGTGCAGGTCACTTTTTGTGTAACAACCTCTCTTCCTTTGGGTAGATACCAAGTAGTTAGACTGCCAGGATCAAATGTTAGATCTACTTTTAGTTCTTTGAGAAATCTCCATACCATTTTACATAGAGGTTGTACTAATTTATGTTCCCACGAACAGTGTATAAGCACTCCCTTTTCACCACATCTGTACCAGCATCTATTGGTTTTTGATTTTTTAAGTAATGGTCATTCTGACTGGTGTAAGGTGGTATCTCACTGCATTTTTAATTTGCATGTTCTAATGGCTAATGAAGTTGAGCATCTTTTCATGTACTTATTTGCTATTTGCAGATTTTTGGAGAAACATCTACTCGGATTCTTTGCTTTTTATTATTGAGTTGTAAGAGTTCTTTATATATTCTAGGTACAAGTCCTTTATCAGATTTACAATTTGCAGATATTTTCTCCCACTTTGTGAGCTGTCTTTTCATGTTCTTGATGGTGTCCTTTGAAGCACAAAAGTTCTGAATTTTGATCTTTTTTTTTCTTTTTTCACTCACATAAATATACTTTTATATTTTCTTGTGCCTATATGATTATCTCTCACCTTCTAGTTATGCTTATGGTAATAATGCTTGCCCTATTACATAGTAAAAATGTCAGAATCAATAGTTTACTATCTAGAAAGACACAAAATGAAGTATTTCTATCATCATCATTATCACCAAAGATATTCTATACTTGCCTCTTACCTATTTCATAGCTTCCCAGCAGCCCTGTGGAGTTCTAGCCAGACATTGTCAATGAGGGTCATTATTTTTTTTTTTTTTTGAGTTGGAGTCTCACTCTGTCGCCCAGACTGGAGTGCAGTGGCCACTTCCGGCCACCGCAGCCTCGACCTGCTGGGCTCCAGCAATCCTTCCGCCTCAGCCTTCCGAGTAGCCGGAATTACAGGCATGCGCTACCACGCCCGGCTGATTTTTTGATTTATTGTACAGATGAGGTCTTGCTACCCAGGCGGGTCTCGAACCCGCGGGCTCAGGCAATCTGCTCACCTCAGCCTCCCAAAGGCGCGGGATTACAGGCTGAGCCACCAAGCCCGACTGAGGGTCATTATTAATAAGCCACAAACATAAGACACTGTCATCCACATTTTAGCATCCCACTTAAAGTGATCACGAAGGATCCCCTGGGGATGTTACAAGGGGAACAGGTCCCATTACCAAGCATTATCATCACTCTCAGCTCCACCTATGACCTTCCTTAGCCCTCAGTTTATCCAATACTAAAGGACTGATAAAAATGTCTCCCAAGGTCATTTCTAATACTTTCCACACCTATTCTTTCCCCTTGACAGATTATTTCCTGGGCATCCATTTCTGTCCAATTTTTTCCTTTTTGCCCCAAACCAGAAACCTAACTGGAAAAGACCAAAAAACCTAAGTAAAAATAAATGACAAAATACAAAGCAAAAAAATTTTGTATAATGTCTTTTCACACACTTGTTTCAGCATTATCTTTGTAAATTCTGAACCAGAAAATAAGAGTAACTTGGCTTTTCCTTCTTATTACTGATCAATCTACACTGCTTATTTGCTGAACTAGTCTATATATCCTAGGATAAGATTAAACCAAAGTTTCAATAAGGAAAATTATGGGACAAAAAACTTAAGACTGGAAATTGGAAATCTTGATAAATAAGGTGCTTGGAACATAGTAAGCACTCACTAAAAGTACGTTTAAGCTTTTACTAGTTTTTTATTATGCCATCTTCTCATACAAATGAAACTAAGTTATAAGAGAGATGTTATTAGGTACAATTATGAATCAATTAAATACAAAGACTAACTCAGTCTTTTCATTGGAACACATACAATACTTATTACTGGCATCTACCTTTGAGTACTTACTGTGTGGTAAGGATAAGGTTAAGCATTTTTATTAAGTATGTTTAATCCTCATAACCCCCTTTAAGGTAAATTATTTATTCATTTCCACAATGTTGCTAGGAAAACTGAGATGTATAACTTTCCCCAGGGTGCAGTGCTAGAGAATAACAGAGCTATGTCTGAACCCAAACTGCTCAACTGTATAGCCTAAGCATTTAACCACTCTGCCACCAATCACCAGGCAACTTATTAGACCAGTCAAGGATAAGAACATCATCTACTGTTAAATGAGAGACAGGGACAGTTGCCACTGTCCTCACAACCACTCTCTATAAGATAGGTACTTACTAGTATAAACTCCTTCTTTGTAGAGTCATGAAAATAAAGTTCTGCAACTTCAGCCTCAGAGGCAACAAGCCACTGAAGAATAATCCTTAGCTGAGGGTCTATTGTGCACGGCTCCATGTCAATATTTGTAATTAGCAGAGTCTTTTCACCTTGCCCCAAACCTAATATTTAGACAATATAAAGTAAAACTCATCAATTCAACTCTCAATATGCTGGTTGCCAAGTATGTACAAATATTTTTCATTTCTCAAGATTCCAATAAATACTGGAAAAAAATCCATCTTTTCTTACTCACACCAGCATAAACTAAAACATGTTTGTCTTTTGTAAAAAAAAAAGGGCAAAATAATGCTAAAACAAAGGAACAACTCTGATCATTTATTGATAACAAAAATGTAAAACACTATTTAAGGTACCGAATTCAAGTACTATAAATGCAATATTTTGTGTCAAATTATGGCCCTAAGTAGAAGGAGAGAAAATAAAACTACAGTTATCATGACCATCAAAATAAAAATGAAACACACAAATGAAAATCTTAAAGAACAGCAGCAAACATATGTATAACATGTATTACATCTTAAGTCTTCATCTAAGCTCTTTATATATACAAACTCCTTTAATCCTCACAACTACCCTATGAGGCAGGAACTGCCATCTCCATTCTACATGAGGGATCTGAGGCAGAGAGAGACTCAAAGTCTTACGGGGGCACGTGGCTGAGGCAGGATACAAACACAGGCAGTCTGGCTCCATGCTCATAATCACTTCATTCTTTAGACAAAATGGCAGGAGAACATCGTAGGCAAACCACTTACATCCCAAAAACCAACCAGGGAATTTTCTGGTAGACCTCTAGTATAAATAAGATGCTCTCAAGTTTATTTTCCTTTTTTATAATTATGTTTTCAACATAAAGAAGGATGTATCTCTGTTGATGGAAAAACTAAAGGCAGTGGACCAATATCATGTGTTGAATACTCCTGGTTAATGATAACTGAGCAGTAAAGAGACTGGGACACTCCCCCACCTTCCACAAGAGGTGAGCACCTGGAGCATGCTGGCAGACATCATGCCAAAACGCACCAGCAAAGGAAAAGTTGCTGATGGATGTTTGCAGGCCATTTTTAGACCACTATTATTCATTTTTTAGGATTTGTGATGGCCTCTCATTTAAATTTGGTCTGCATCACTCTCTAAAAATGAATTTATCTTTTTTCTCCCTTCTCTCAATCAAATAGGTTTGGTATTTGACATACCATGATTCAAGGCATAGTCTCTGGGCCTTTTTACAAACCCTGCAGAGTTCATGAGTCTGGAAGTCAGGTTACCCTAACACCTGTCTGTACTGCTGTTTTTTTCTCAGTTCAGAATTCCTGGTTGCCTGGCATGACAGGAGCCTTCAAATGGCTCTCTCTTTAGAGAAGTCACAAACCACTAGTGAAAGGGAAGGGAATGACACCCTGCAACTACAAAAGTGTTTTTTTTTAAAAAGAGGCCTGTTGCCTTAGGATTCCATAATTTTGAATCCTTCTGTAAATTCAGACCAATCTATCTCCTAATTTACCAATCTCTAACTTAACAAATTTAAAATTGGCTATAACTTTCTATATAATGAGATGTCTACAATCTCAAAAGTTGAGCTACAACATATCAACATATAATTAATCTCTTGATTGCTACCTACTCACAAAAGAAATCCTACACAGCCTGCTAGTGCCAGATGTAAATTTTTAAAAATAAAAACTTCATATTTGTATTAACTTGTATCTTCTTTTCTCTTAATCATTTCTCATGAAGTTAGTTAAGTTCATTAGAGAACAGCTTATTAGAGAATACCCACCATGTGCATTTGTGTTATGTATATCCTTTGGAATAAATTTGATCAAAGGTGCCACTTGGGAAAAAGTAAACAACTTGTATAGACAGAGTCAACACTTCAGTGAACAAAAATAAAGCACATATTACCTGGCCTATCAATAACTCTAAAAATATTGTCCTACCTTGATTTACATCTGATGAGAAAAACTTCTAGAGGCTCTATATGAAGAAAGTCTACTTACGGAGGCATTAGAACTAAAAAAAATAATAATCTTAAGTCTGAAGATCTTAGCTTGAAAACTGGTATGACGTCTCTAAACAAGGAAGTACCACTGGTATTAAACTAACTGAAACTCCGGTGTCATAAAGTACATTTCAAGAAATTATTTCAGCAATTTTCTGTTTGCCCACTTCTAAAGAAGCAATACAAAAATTTCACTGGTTCAAAAATATCTCAAAGAGTATAAATATTTCTTATTTATATGTATTACTCTATAGAAAACATTATTGGTATTTTCATAATTAGGAAAAAATAAGATTTGGGGAAAAACTCAAAAACCACCTGAATACAAGGAAAACTCGGCTTCAACATGAAGCTTCTAGGTTCACTCAGACATTCCAATATATGAATTAAGGATTACAAACCACGGTCCAAAATTCTGTGACCGATGATATCTAGTATTTATATAAGTGAAACTATATTCATTATAGAAAGCTTTGAATATTTGCTTCAAATATGTGTATCCATGAGTGTAGGATTGAAACTAGTACAGCAATCAAATAATATAAACCTCTTAACAAAAGATCTAAAACTAGACAAGAAAAACTAGCTCAAAAATATACTGATTTTTAATGTTTTACATAAATAACTCAGGGCCTATCTGATGAAAATGTACAAATACAAACTGTAAAGACTCTTCTAGGTAATGCTATGCAAAAAATATGTAAATACTTTGAAAAACAAATTGTTGATTACCTTCTACATCATCCTCATGTTCTTCATCTTTGTCATCTGGTCCATCACTTTTTGAAGAAAATAGCAGAAGCAGTTTAAAAAGACTATAACAATAGTATTAAAACCAATTCTTAAAAATGTGGTAAGGAATGATATCACAATATGACATATGACATATAGAAAGGGGAGAAATGAGAAGTAAAAAAGGAAGCTTTGCTTCTCACATCATTTCATGTTAAAATCTGAATTGCAAATGGTGTCTAAAATTATCAAATCCAAGAAGTCCTACCTTACCATGATATACAGAGCCAAGTAATTTCATAAAATGTAATTTACAATAATCTGAAGCTAAAATATCCTATTAATTTGATTTAGATAATACCGCATCTGAATATCATAGGATGCCATGAATAATTAAGTGTTCATTAATGCTTTGGCTGATGCCACTTATATATATATATTTTAACACAGTAAAAACACATTTCTCCTACACTTTTCTTATATATAAAATAAGAAACTACATAGAAACAAAGCAAAAAAAACAAAACAAAACAGAAATCCTGTAGGAAGCAAGCTCTTTTGAATGAAATAATTGGTAGAATGAAAAATAGCAAGCAGAGCAACACATGCATAACACATTTTGCAATTAAATGTCAGTCTTATCTTAACATAGCTGTATTTTTTTCATTAGATGTGAATTCATCAAGCAGAATCATGTCAAAATATAGAAGAAAGAGGTTGATACATACTGGCACTATAACCAACATTCTTTCAACAATATGACATCATGCATTAGTGGTGAAAGACTCATCAGTTTTCAAGTTTCTAGTCTGGACCAACCTGTCTGATGTTGGAAAGGATAAATTGTCCTCATACAAATCTCCTTCTAAACCAAGACTGCTCCAGCTACTGCTGTTACCATTACTGCCAGAGGAAGAAAAGAACAGAGCTGAACTAGAAAATGAATAGTAAAGAAGACCATTTTCCTTGGAACAGCATCTGTCCTTGATAACTGCAGGTGTTCTGAAGCTGTCACAGTGGAGTGGAACATCCATAGAGGTAAAGGGGGACCAGCCCTGCTACTCTAAAAGGTACCTGACAGGATCAAGATTCAGGAGTCTTTTCTTTGTCCTCAATAGATTATAAAAATTATTCTAAACTTACATAAATTTTACAGATTAAAACATCAGAATGGTTTTTAGGACAGCAAATGGATACATGAAGTAAGAAGTTTCACAATAAAATTAATGTCTTAGAGTTAATGTCTTATTCTAAATTAATTCTTTAGAATAGCTAAGGCTTAATCAACCATTACACTTGTCTGGCTGGCCAGTAACTAATGCCACACAGAGATAACTTCTTCCACTACGTAATCAAAAGAAGAAGAAAGCAACTATATTCTAAGACTGCAGCAAAGCAATTTTTAAAAAAGCAACCATGTTCAGAAACAAAATTAAACTCAATTTTTCAGATTAAAATCTCCAACATGCAATCTTTTAAAATTCTAATCATTCCTAATTATTAAAATCATTAGTAAGCACATTAGTTTGCAGTGATAGCAGCTACAGTTCTCAGTATTAGGCTAGACAATTATAAAAATTAATATTTACACAAACCAAAATTTTGGTTCTAAAAAATGAAATAACATAAAATTATTTCATGTGCATCAGTAAATATTGACATGGTTACTAAAAAAAATTATTAAAATTCTAAATCACTTTCGAGTAATTTCAAATAATTTACATATCCATATTTACTTTAACACTATCAAATTGTCACAAGACATAATGCATTTGAAAATAAAATTTAAAACTGAGCAGGGTCTTTTTAACATATGTTCAGACAAATATAGCTCTATTATAAAGTCATTAAAACAATCAGAGTTTTGCCCATGTAAGTCTGTTGTCAGACAAACTAAAAATGAGAAAATATACAAATAAAGAATGGAAAGACAGCTGTGAACCAAAGAGAAAATTAATTATCTTAAACATTGTATTTAATTCCATTAATATAATGATTAAACAAAGAAAAAATATAAAATTAAAATTCTACCCATAGCAATGATTCCACTACTTAATAAATAATAAAGATCCATCACCAAAGTATTATGTAAACATGAAAAAAACCCAGCTAAACAAGGTGAAAGACTAAAACTTCAAACTCTAACTAACCTCATCTCTCCCTCTCCCAACCAGGTTTTGTATATCAAAATGGGTCAGATTTGAAGTCAGTTATTTATAAAATACCACTTCTAACTAGGGTGACCAAATACATTTTTAATTTAACCAGGACACTTTTTAAAGTGAAAGAAGTCACCATTAATAATTACAACAGAACAGCAGAAGTCAGACTACACTGAGTCAAGTGAGAGGAATGATCACCCTATATTAAAATATATCAATATTTAAAAACTTAATTTCTTCACCAAACAAGAGTCTTCCCACTTTACTCATGAAACAGTCCTCCTTTTATCATTTTCTTTTATGTCTTTTCATATTTCTAATGTGTAGAACAGGTGTACTTAAACCCTCAAATAGGTGGTAGTCCAGTACTAAAATTCTTTATTGCGGCTTTCTTTATTGAAAACTAGTAATTCTGACACAGCTCATAAAAATTATCTCAAAAATTCTATAAGTCTGGCCCTATCTGTTATGTCATCTAATTCATAACTTCTAAGAGAGTCACAAATTACCTGAAATATTTAAGAGAAACACATACATAGGCCAGTTCTCTTTCTGATCAAATAATTATACAATCTTATTGAACACTTGTGAAAATCTTAACTTATTGTGTTTTTTAGTTGTCCTCTACTGAACTTCCTACTTATAATGAAAGCGCAAGGAGTTTCAAATCACTAAAGTCTTTATCTCCCACCTTGATCTCTGTACCAAAAAAAACAGTATCTACAGCAATTATCATCAAAAGATGCAAAGTATAAAGCAATACAACTTCAAGTGTGGCCTCTGCACTAAAATCACTCAAAGTGCTTATGAAGCATGCAGATTCTCAGGATCTGCCATTGACCTAATACATCTCCATCCCTGGAGGTGAGGCCCTGGAAACTGTATATTCACCGAGCACACCACCAACCCTGGATGAGTCCCACTATCTTTTTCTAATACCACATAGTACCATTCACTCATATAACATTCTACAGAGTTGTTCAGCTGGTTACAGGTCTGCCTGTTGCCACTAGCTCTACCCATACATAATTCCTTCCATTTTCATACCAGGATACTTCATAAAAACATTAATACTTACTGGTCAATTGAAGCACTTAGTAAAAATACTGAGATGAAATGATCTAACGGGTGAAAAGCCATTCCTTTCCTTACATTACCTCAGCCCCTCCTTCAACAGTCATCTTCCCGCCCCCTCCTGGTTTGCCTGTTCAGCTGACATGTCACAGGGTCCTTTCCACATATCCCAGAAACCACAAGTATGCTGAGAATCCTTTCCTCTCTCTAGACTCAGAGAGATAATATCTGTTATTTCCAGATAGTATCTGTTATTTCCAGTTATCAGGTAATGTGAATAAAGGTTTTTATAAAATTTTATAGGTTAGTCAGGAATGCCTTTAGGTAGAGGTAAGAATATAAGAAACAACTGCATCATAATTAATAAAAATCTTACAAACACCATTGTTATGAACAAAATTAAGAAAAGTTATGTATGTCTTCTGCTATATAACACAAAATCTATTTTTATAATGGCTTTGATTTATGTATTTTCAATCATTCAAGAATAAATGTTCCAAGTTACTAGTTCCTAACAGCAGGACAAGTAAGGATCCCATTCCAACAGATACTATTGTAACTAATATAGGGAAAATTACAGGGCTATGTTGGAGCCTTTTACAGATAACTGTCCTTTTCCAATCATCTAAAGAAAAAATAAAGGCCCTCTTTTAAGTGAGAAAAAATACTTTCCTCAAAAGTCTGGGAAAAGCTTAAAAAGCATAAAATTAAACATTTACAATATTTTTCAAATCAAATACTGGCATACTCAAAGAAGATTAGCTGGGCTAATTACTGAATTTAATAAACATCAAAAACCATTAGAAAAACATTGTGAACAATAAAACAACATTTTGAAAATAATGGCAGATTTCAAATTTAGAGTTTTTAAATAATACTCTATAAATGTATATAGCTCACTTCTGAGGTCTGAGGACCTAAATTACAAAATATTAGTTACCTTTCACTTAGATGATGAAAACTGCTGCTTTCATCTTGGTGTTCATCTTCAAAACTTAAATTGGACCAGCTGCCAGTGCTGTCATCACCAAAACTGAGATTCATCTGTGGGCTACCAAAAGACTCACTTAACTGAAAGTCTTCTATTTCTTTTGAACTAAAAAGAAGATAAAAGAAAAAAAATCAAGCTTAAGCATCACAGATTCTGAATTTATAAGATTATTAGATAAAGATGACAAAGACAAAAAATGATATTAAGAATCAGACCATAATCATTCAAATTATGGTTCATTTAATCCTGTCTGCTAATAAAAATACTTTGCAGGATAGCATATTAATTTCAAAGTTAACCAAGGCACCTACCTACACCCCTCACTTATCTTGTTAATCTAATAAGAATCTATTCCTAGAGCATCATTTCTCTAAATTCCACTTAAAGCAGTTCATATTTCCAACTGGGACATTTGGGGGGATATTTCCTAAGTTCATCATCTGCTCTGTAAAATGCAGATGAGCCTCCTGCTGATTTTAAAAACAAAAAGAAGTAGTTCTAGAAATTCTAGGACTGTCAATCAAGCCTATAATCAAACTAGGCAAACCTTTTCAATATTTTGAGCGTAATCCTTTTCACTTTGTTCAGTGAAGGGACATTTGTACTTTTATTCCATTATCACAAGAAAGTCCTGCTCAACTATTATAATTGCCTCTCCATATGTTATTTTCAACACAGTAATTTAAAGTGATGTTTTGATAAGGAGAGAAAATCAATCAGAATAAGAGCCTAAACCCTTAAGACATACTAGTTGGTCTCCTATTATAATGTCCATCTTAATTACCGTGATTCTCCTGGGCCAATTTCACTTCAGCAATACAGGACTTTTATTCCCCAATATGCAGACCCATCCCTTTGCCTAGAACCCTTTTCTCCCTGACTCCCATATGACCTATTCTCTCTCCACCCTTGGCTCCTGGTTCAAATATTACTTTGCCAGTATTTCTTCCCCTGCTACCTATTCAAAACTCCAAATCATCCCTAAAAGCTGTCACCCACCACCCCACCAGCACTCTCTAACTCTCTACTGCCTTGCTTTATTTTTCTCCCAGAGCACTTATCACTCTGTGACATACTATGTATTTTACTTATCTATTGGTTGTCTTATTCCACTATAGCATAAGCTTCAAGAGAACAGAGATTTTTGCCAATTTTACTTACACCTGTTTCTCTGGTGCCTAGAATAGTGCCTGAACTGCTCTGTGCTTTTGGACATTCTCATTTTGTAAGATAAGGCAACCAGAATTATACTGGGTATTCCAAGGAAAGGCACACTAGAGTCTTGGACCATAAAAGTACTTCTTTCTTCGTTTTGAACACTTTTCCTTATATATACCACATTCTTATGATTTTGGCTGAAATGACTGACAGGATGGGGTCAAGAGAAGGGACTGTGAGGTTATTTCAATTCAGAAATGATAGCTCAGAATACAGTTGCTTTGCTCTTCTATGTACTATCATATAATTTCCCATTTGAAATTAACATGCCACCCTTCTGTACATTACAGCTTTATGAACTATTTATGATTACTTTCATGAATCAAACATTTACAAGACAAAGGATGCCAGTGAAATAATCCAAAGAACACCTTACCTTAAAGAATAACCAATTTGAATGACTCAGTCTCCTTCAAGTTTGAAAGATAAACAATTTTAACTTTAGAAATAAAAAAAATGTGAAACTAAACTGTACACACTAGAGTCAACTCTTCATTGGCAGCATTTATAGAACCCCAGCATTATTATTAAGAAAAGACAAGAGGCCAGGCACGGTGGCTCACGCCTGTAATCCCAGCATTTTGAGAAGCTGAGGAGAGAGGGTTGCCTGAGCCCACGGGTTCCAGAACAGCCTGGGCAACTTGGCAAGACCTCATCTCTAAAATAAAAAATCAAACAGTAGCCGGGCATGGTAGCGTGCACCTGTAGTTCTGGATACTTGGAAGACTGAGGCAGAAAGATTGCCAGAGCCCAGCAAGTCAACACTGGGGTGGCCGTGAGTGTGTCACTGCACTCCAGCCTGGGTGATGGAGTGAGACTCCAACTCAAAAAAAAAAAAAAGAAAGAAAGAAAGAAAAGAAAGAAAAGAAACAGAAAAAGAATTACACCAGCCAAATGCAAATTGGAATTGGATAGCATCAGCTTATAGGAAGAATTTTAGGGGTCTATCTACTCACCAAGCTCTAAGAAGAAAAAGTGGAAGTACTGAGAAATCAATAGCAAGGGTATTTTGCTAGGCCCTTAAAGTAATATCTTAGAAAATTTAGTCTAAAAAAGAGTCTCTTCCTCCCATGAAGGTGAGGCTAAAATGACCAGGAGGAGGGGAGGTACTGAAAAGGAGGGAAAATTAAAATAGCCTGAGACGACTTGTATGAGGAAATTTACTTCAATTGTCAAAAAGCCTAGTTTATTACCATGTATTTATTTGCATATTTAGTAGCCAGTTATTATATGTCTGTCATCATACTAGAAAATCTAGGAACTAATACACAGTCATGAAGAAAATGTGGATCTGGGACACAGGTTCACAAACACGTTTTCTGTAAAGGCACTGCTGGCCATATGACCTCTGTCCCAACTACACAACTCTGCCATAAAAAATATGTAAATGAATCAGCATGGCTATATTCCAATAAAACTGTATAAATATTGAAATTTGCACTTGATGTAATTTTCATATCACAAAATACTTTTAAAATTCTTTTTCCAACAATTTAAAAGAAATGTGAAAATTATTCTTAGCTTGCAAAAGTGGATGATAAGAAACAATTGGATTCAAGAGTCCTGGCCAAAATGCATCTCTCTATTTTATGAGACATAAGAAAAGAGGCAGTCCTTGTCAAAGATTTTTGAGTCCTACTCAAAAATCATTTGTGAGTCCTATTCAAAAATCTAGAACATCATGTGACTCAATTAAATTTCACCACAACTTGAAGTATTTTCTCTTTCCAGTGGGACTTACAAATATAATCCTAGGAACTAATAACACCAGTTAGTCCTGATGTTTACCCAGGAACAAAAGAATGAAAAAATCTTTTTTTGTGTGATACTCAGATCTTTGTTTTTGCGAGAGGTCACTCAGTATTATAGACTCTAGTTCCATCCAGGTTGCTGCGAAATTCATGATTTTGTTCTTTTTTATGGCTGTGTAGTATTCCATCATGTATATGTACCACATTTTTTAATCCAGTCCTGTTTTGATGAGCAGCATGGTTGTTTCCAGGTTCTTGCTATTGTGAACAATGCTGCGGTAAACATATGTGTGCAGGTATCTTTTTTATAGAGAAATTTGAGTTCTTCAGGATATATTCCCAGTAGGGGGATTGCAGGGTCATATGGGAGGTTGGTATTTAGAGTTTTTAGGAATCGCCACACTGCTTTCCACGAGGTTGCACTAGTTTACGCTCCCACCAACAGTGTAGAAGTGTTCCCTTTTCGCCACACCCTCTCCAGCAGCTGTTATTTTTTGAGTTGTTGATAATTGCCATTCTGGCTGAAGTTAGGTGGTATCTCAGTGTGCATTTTCTTAAGTTCTTATAATTTGAGGTTTTAGGGGTCCTGTTTGGACTATAGTTTTTAAAGCAGAGTTTGGTGTAACAGAAAAATTGAGAGAAAAGTACAAAGAGCTCTCATATTCTCTGCTCCTACATAGTCACAGCCTTCTTTGCTATCAAAATCTCCCATCAGAGTGCTACAGGTTTATAATCATTGTAACTACATTAACGTAACACTATCACTCAAAGTCTGAAGTTTACATCAGGGTTCACTCTTGGTGTTTGGGCAAATATATAATGCCATTTGCCTACCATTATAGTATAATACAGATTAGCTTCACTTCTCTACTAAAGATTCTCTGTGCACCATTTATGCTTCCTTCTCCCTAATTCCTAGAAACCACAAATCGTTTTAGTCTCCATAGTCCTGCCTTATTCAGAATGGTACATTGATTAAATCTTACTAATGTGTCTACTGAGGTACTATTTCTTTGTGTCCTTCCATGACTTGATAGCTCATTCCTTTTTTTTTTTTTTTTTGATTTGGAGTCTCACTCTGTCGCCCAGACTG